GGGTGGGGGAGCAGATGCCACTGTTGGAGTTGGTTTTGTTGTAGTCTGAGATTCGAATGCTTAAGGAGGTTAAGCACTGAAAATAGGCACCAGAGACCAGTTGTGCCACGTCAACCCTTCGGTGACTTTCAGATTGAGATTATTTTGTGAGATAAGGTCTCATGTGACCTAAACTAGCCTTGGCTAACAATAGCCAGCCAAGGATGATTTTGGGCTTTTGATCCAGCCTCCATTTCCTAAGTCTGGGATTACAGACTTGGTTTTATGCCATGCTGAGAAGTGAAACCCACAGGGTTTGGGTATGTTAGGTAACTATTCCATCAACTGAACCACATTCTCAGCTACAGAATGGATGGTTTTTGTCACTTTATAGAGGCACAAACCTGGCTCTGGTGGTCAAGGACATCACTAGTCAAATACTACTGCGATTCCAGAACAGGTTAGACTGACCCTAGAGCTGAAACTGCTTGATCCCCTAGAAACTTGACAAGGCAGAGAAGGGAGATGGGGACAGCAGGGTTTGAGGTAGTCCCCACAGTAACTGGGGGGGGGTTAACCTGGGGTTAGGAGGATTCTGGGAGTCCCTGAGGAGAGAGACCAGAGGATATGGCTATACATGTTGCCCCAGGGCTATTTGGCTGGAATAGACCTGTAAAAAGCTAGGAATCGAGAACAATGGGGCAGTGGACATAGGGTCATTGGCATTAAGGAACAAATCGCCCCAGAGGAGGAGGTGGAGAAGAAGTATGGGGGAGGAGGGCCAGGGAGCCAAAGTCACAGGTGGGCAGGGTGAGAGGGAAAGACACCCTGAGGCTGAAATCACTCAGGTTCTTCTGAACTTCCTGCTGATGACAGGGAAGTTTGACAGCGGAAGGTAAAGCCCTCGAAAAGGTCTTTGTGTGGCTGAGGAAATGACTCAGTTGATACAGTGCTTAGTGTGCAAGCAGGAGGACCAGAGTTCAGATCCCAGCACCCATCTTAAAAAAAAAAAAAAAGAAAGAAAGGAAGAAAGAAAGAAAGAAAGAAAGAAAGCTGGCCTCTTGTCTGTAGCCCCAGCACCAGGGAGGCAGAGACAAGCAGATGCCTGGAGCTCACTGGCCAGCCTCACTGAACAGGAAGAGAGCCTGTCTAAAATACAAGGTGGAGAAGCAGTTAAGGAAAACATGTGACCTCAGCCTCTGACCTCCAGACACTACAGTGCATGCCTGTGTGTGCACACACATCATCTTTGTCCGATAACAGAGAGAGGGGAGGTATTGGGGAGGCAGCACTGACTCAGCTGCAATCTGCTATCAGTGATTATCGGCATCCTCACTGCCATATGCTGGTTCTTCTTCGGGGGCCCAGCAGTGGCTGGCACAGTCCTAGGCAATCCCATTGCTCATGTAGGGTGGGACCGGTGGTTCATCTGCAGGTGCCCAGCTGGAGTGGAGCCCTCCCTGGTCAACTTTGGTTGTGTCTGGTATGAACTGTGGTGACAGGGTACAGGTGACCAAGGAACTGAGAGTGGCCTCGGGGTGGATATAACAAACAATATGACCAAGGCACAAGGAGGGATGTGGGCACTGTAAAGAAACTTAAGCTCCAGCAAGGTCCCAGGAATGTGCATACTCGTGTTTATGCAATGCCTGATTTTGGCTTTCTTTGAACTTCTGGTACATACCTCATGCCAGTTCTCTGTTGTGACAGGTGTGACATACTTGAAATGTTCTTGATAAAAGGAAGCCAAGCAGCTGGATCACGGGGTATAACTAAGGCTTCCCAGAAGCTGTTACCTACGACAGGTTTTGGATGGATTTGGAGATTTGGATAGGAATATGTCCCCTTACCCTTTCCCTCTTCTCGGCTCTCTGCTTTTCTTTTTCTTTGTTTGCTATTTGGACAGGTCCTCATGTAGTTCAGGTCGGTCCCCAACGTGCTATGTAGCCAATGATGACCTTGTCCCTCCTGCCTCCACTTCCCCAGTGCTAGGATTACAGGAGTGAGCACCCAGCTTTATGCAGTGCTCTGGAGCCAGTCCACGACTTTCTTGCATGCAAGGCAAGCATTCTGCCAGTAAAACCACATCCTCGGCTCCTGGAAGGTGTTTCTGATGGTCAGATGCATCCTGTGTCCAGCTGTCCAAGACAGCGTGTTCATTGCCTGGTACTCACACAACGTGGAATAGGGCTGTCTTTGTGTCTAACCCTGTTTATGTGTGCAGGAGGCCTCTGATGCTGATGTGGCTAGGGAGACAGGCCAAATTGTTCCAGGGTGGAAGCTGCTGGCTGAAGGAAACTTCCACTGGAACTTTAGAAACTGTGCTTGCTGAACAGAGAGCCTCTCTTTACTCCGAACCTGGCTAGTGCTTGAAGCAGTGCAGACACTCGGCAAAGACCCAATGATGGAGGTGGGAAGTAACACAGGTTCTCTTGCAGGCATTGCCTTTTATTGACAGCTGATGCTGGACTTGCTTTATGGATGAGGGTACTAAAGTTCACAGGACTTTGATGCATGGGCTAGGGATGTAGTTGGTAGAGTGCTTTCCTAGCATACATGAAACCCTGGGTTGATTCCCCAGTGCTCAGAAGGCAGAAGGTCAGGTTCAAGATCAGGCTAAGGCATTTGCCACCAAGCCTAATGACCTGAGTTCAATCCCTGGGTCCCATATGGTGGAAGGAGAATACCAACTCTTGCCAGTTGTCCTGTTACCCCTATACATGGTGACAAGGTACACACACAGGTGCACATGTGCTCTCGAGTGGGCTCTCTCTCTCTTTCTCTCTCTCTCTCTCTCTCTCTCTCTCTCTCTCTCACACACACACACACACACATTATAAATAAATAAGTAGAAAAAAAAACCCTTTTTGGAGTGGAGAAAGAAACTGTCTAGATGGCCAGACCTGTGTGGTGCCCTGGGAGACAAGGGGACAGGAAGAGACATGAGTCTAGTCCTCAACAGGATCCCCTATCCCTGAGTTTTGTGTCTTTGGAGCAGAAAGAATCCCCCATCCCATCCCAGACTGCCCTATTATTATCAAGCTTAGGGATGTCTTGTGGTAATTTAGCTTGTGTCATCTGTCCAGACTATGCATGCTTGGAGTTGTGGGGGTGAAGGTTGAGGAAAGGGAGCAGGGTGGTACAGAAGCCAAACTCTGGGTTTGGCTCTCAGAACTGTGCAGTGCTGTGCTCTGAGGGTGGGGACCTGATGTCTCCTCAGATGCTGCTGTCTGCCCTAGGGCTGACTTTGTGAAGGACAGCATGGAATGTCCATCCATCTCTGACTCTCTGCCCTCTGGCAGGGATGCAGGAGGCCATGGGCCTTCTCTGGACTGGTCACAGCCAGGGAACTCTGAAAAACATCCAAGGCTACAGGACAACAACAGTTCTCTTTATGCAGTTGCGTTCTGCTTAGCCCTCAACTGTGTGCAGATGAGCTACACCCTTAACCTTGGGTATAGGTTCTCACCTTCCACTTTGGGCACATAACCCTAGCTGGCCTGCAAGCATCTGGGCATTCTCCTGTCCCTGTCTCCCACATCCTCTTAGGGGCTACAGACACACGTGATATTGTCCTTGTCTTTTACATGGGTTCTCGGTACTCAAACTCAGGTCCTCACACTTGCATGGCATCTGAGCCGTCTCCCCAAATCACCCACATAGACTAAGTTTACAGGCTAGTGAGTCCCAGAGATGTGCTTGTCTCTGTTTCCCTGGCACTGGGACTATAAGTGGGTGTCAGTATGCTTGGCTTTGTGTGTGGGGGGTGGGTTGCTGTGAGTCTGGAACTCAGTTCTTCATGCTTGTGGCAAACACCTCACTGACTGAGCACAGAGAGGGCTCTACTTTCTTCCAGATCCAGCAGATGTTGGCTGGAGCTGTCAGACTGTACTGTGTGTGGAGTAAGCATAGAGTCCTTTCCTTACTGGCTGTGACCTGGTCTCTCCTTCCTTGCCTCCCTGGCTGTGCCCTCATCTCTCCTTCCTTGCAAAAGTCTTTGCTCCTTTGTGTGTTAGCTTTCTGTCCCTGTGACGAAAATACTACTCAAGAGTGGAAGGATTTACTTTGCTCACAGTGTGTCATAGTTTCTTTCTGTTGCTGTGATAGACTGCTTTGACACACTGGATCCCCATCTGTCTTGAGGAAAGTCAGGGTAGGAACTCAAGCAGGAGCTGAGGCAGAAACCACAGAGGAAAGCAGCTCACTGACTTGTTGCCCATGGTTGTTGGTTCAGCTGCTTTCTTAAAGCCAGGACTACCTACCATGAACTGGGCCCTCCTGCAGAAACGGTTAGTTAAGAAAATGCTGCCTACACATGCCCAAGGCCAGTCTGATGGAGACATTCCTCAGTTGAGCATCCCTCTTCCCAGGGGGTGCTAGTTTGTGTCAAATTGAGAAAAACTAACCAGCACATGACTTTAGCTTCAGATGTGTCAGTCATCATGGTAGGAGGTAATGGTGGCGCAGTCACGAGAAGACATGCCCTTATGTCCCAGCATGGTGGGGAGGAGCACACAGAAAGAGGCAGGTAGACAGACCCTTGGTGCCTGCTGGTCAGCCAGCTTAGTCTACTTGTTGAGTTCCAGGTCAGTGAGAGATGCTGCCGCAAAAAAAATGTGGATGGTGCCTGAGGAATGACAGCTGGGATTGCCCTCCGGCTTGCAGCCCTGCAGCCCTCCATCCCCCATACATGTGTCCCTACACACACAAAATTTCATGTTTTAAGGAAGTTTACAACTTTGTGCCATGTTTGTCACCATTAAAGGTTGGATCCTCCTGAACCGTTTAAGCAGGGACATGTTCCTGGGCCAGCCCTGTAAGTCTACTGGCCAATGCTGACCTTCTTCTCCTTCTGCCCCCCTCTAGCAACATGTCTGAATGCTGG